TACTCATAGTCTTGATCTTTTGCTGCAACCGAAGGCAATCTCCCATTGATCCGTCTTACCACGACGAAAGCTCTGCAACCATTGAACAAGGCCTTGATGAAGCCACAATCTGCAGCTACCCGAAGCTGCTTTACTCTGAGGCCAAGCGGCAAATGGTTGGCTCGGTTTCAGCTCCTTCTTGCTGTTGCATATGCTTGGCAGACTTTGAAGACAAAGACGTCTTGCGATCTGTGCCTAATTGTGGCCATTTCTTTCACCAAATTTGTGTAGACAAATGGCTGCAGCTACATCCGACGTGTCCAATTTGCAGAAACTCGCCTCTGGATCCGTCTGCAGTTTTGGTGACTTCTGTTGAGATATAAATAATAGTGGATTGTTGATTAGATGAATTGGAGTTTTGGTTGGTTTTCTGTGAAAATTCGATACCCATGTATTAGTTGTAAACATTTCTTTCTTGTTTAAGAATATTTTTGTGAACACACTGATAAACAATTGACTTGTCCATTGGCGTTGATCAAATTATATCTCTCCTGTTCTAGTTTTTTCGACCCCAATGTAGATTTGACGGATATTTCATGAATTGCTGTTTTTTTTTTTTTTTTTTCGGATCAGCAAGTGAAGTTGAAATTTTCATTTGGGGATTTGCATCTTATCCCTTCAATTTTTTTTTTTTTTTTTTTTTTTCGGATCAGCAAGTGAAGTTGAAATTTTCATTTGGGGATTTGCATCTTATCCCTTCAATTTTTTTTTTTTTTTTTTTTTTTCGGATCAGCAAGTGAAGTTGAAATTTTCATTTGGGGATTTGCATCTTATCCCTTCAATTTTTTTTTTTTTTTTTTTTTTTCGGATCAGCAAGTGAAGTTGAAATTTTCATTTGGGGATTTGCATCTTATCCCTTCAATTATTTATTTTTTTATTTATTTATTTATCAAAGAGATACTTCATTAGATAAACTTCACCAGTAGTAGGGCATGGGTTCGGTGTGATTTGGTTCCCAACAGCCCACCAAAGGCATTGAGAGTTTTCCGGCACCAATGCCAAACCACCAACTCTGGTTAACCAGAGTCCTCGATTAACCGGTCGAACAGTTTGGGTTGGCTTGGTTTAGGTGTCGCACTGAACGACATCGCTGCTACACCCTCCAGACGACAAGGTGGTGAGAACCAGCCGACGAGGCGGTGAGAACCAGACAGCGATGAAGTCGAGGCAGAGAAGAGGTGATGAAGTAGAGGGAGACACAGGCCAGATCGAGGCTTCAGATCTCCTAAGATGGAGAGAGGCAATGAGACAGAGTGACAGAGGAGAGAAGAAGAAGAAGAAGGTGAGAAGAAAAAGAAAAAATAATAAAGAAAGAAGGAAGAAAAAGACGAAGAGATGAGAGGGAAGTGAAACTTTGATGAAGAATGAGGAAGATAAGTTAGGGTTTGAGTTGTGCACTTTTGTTTTGTTTTTTTTTATTACTTCCTTGGAACTATATACCGTTATATACATTTGTTATATGGAATTAACACAACCAAGTTTTGTACTTCAGTGGTTTGAGGACTTCACTCCAACATGGAAGTACGGGGTAATCGGTGACTTGGAAAATCTTAAATCATGTTAGGTGATTTGCAGTAACCTCTGTCAAAGATGTAGACCAAAAATTGTACAAAACTTTAGAAAAATATTTTTTTTAATCAATAACTTCAAAAAAATATTGGATAAAAAATACTTGTTTTCCCATGTTTGATAAGTCCATGCATGAGAAATGGTTGAATGAAAGCGGTACATGGGAAAATAAGGGGGAAATGTAACCCTCATCCTCCCTTGGGTTTCATTTTCCCTTCTCATGAGAAAGTTTGGGAAAACGAGCCAACATTAAATGGACACTTTTCATGACCATTTGGTCCCTATTAGAGCACTTCCACCAATTGTGTCATGGCGAAGGGCAAGGGCCAGTAAGGGCAAACACTATTCATGTTTTGTTTTTGTTTTTGTTTTTGTTTTTTATTATTTAATTTTTTTGTATTTAAATTGGTCGCTGACGTCAACTTGCCCAGGCAAGTCTTGCCTTCGCGCTTGCCCAGTTTCATGGCCCACTTCTTGCCTATGCGAAATCTAAAAGTTCCATAAAATTATATTTGTATGGACTTTTTAAAAGTTAATATAAATCTGAATTGAATACACCCAAACTTGTAGAAACTCTTTTAAAGTTCGTATAAATCCAAATTTGTTATAAAACTAGAGGGAGAAAATGTAGAGAGAAGTGATATGCTAAAGATAAAGTTTCACCATGTTTTTCTTCACTTAATCTTTGGTAGAACCACCAATTTATAGGCTTACAAGATAGGAGATTGAATACCATCATTTACAATATACCTATAGGTTACAAGCACTAATTACAAATACTTAGTGCATAGGTTACATAAAATCCAACGGTGGAATACTAAGAGGTATGGTGGTCATCCACCAACTCATGCATTTACAACAAAATTGAATACACCTGAATTTTTAAAATATCTTTAAACTCTCTATAATCCTAATTGAATACACCCTCTAAGGAGAGTAGTTGATATGATTCCAATACATTCATTCCCAATATAAATTCTATGATTCATAGTAATAGGACAAAAATATACCGACCACGTATGCATAGCCCTCCATTAATTAAACCCATTCTCATATATAAGACAGGTCGACTCTTCAAGCAAGGTTCACGCACCTTGTGGTTGTCATTTATTTTGGATGATAAATAAGAATTAAGTTTTGTTGGTACGTATTGCTTGTGGTGCTATCAGGGGATTGTAAGCCCAAGGGAACATGCAGTATCCAAGCTGCTTTCGTCGGGAGTCTCTTCCAATTAGAAAAAAAAAAAAAAAATTAGGTCACCTACGTCCTTTCTCTCTTCTACATTGTGTTTAGCCATTGTACGAGTTCCCTAGCTTACAGGTTTATTTATACTAATTTTTTTTCCTTGCCTAACCGGTACTAGATTCAACTTTTAAGTCTTGCAACTACAAATTTGTTTCACCCATTTATTATATGTGGATTACGTGCCATTTTTAATATATAATTGGCAAGGAATCTTTGCTATATCAGGAACCTTTGTTTGATCTTTCAATAGGACCTAAACTATGCTGTGGTTATTGTATATCAGGAACCTTTGTTTGCTCTTTTTTTCAAAAAAATTTGGTATTTAAATTGGTCGCTGACGTCAACGTGTCCAAACAAGTCTTGCTTTCGCGCTTGCCCAGTTTCAATGGTGTCCACTTCTTCCCAAACATCCATCTAAACCTCCTTATTTCGTTTCTCCTTTTTATGAACATGGTTTTTTTTTTTTTCCTTTTTATATTTTGTCGATATATTGGTTATTAGTTTTATATAAAGTTAGTTCTTTAATTCTCAAGACATTTAATTATCACAAGACACGTATCCTGTATGCACTCTCTAATTCGCCTAAACTTTGTTTGATTCTGACTTGTTAAAAGTATCCCACCTGAAATGACGAAATCTAATTATATATATAAACTATGCTGCGGTTATTGTATAGTCCTATAGGGAATATAAAATCACAGATTAGGCATTTTAAGCATTGGATGTTTTCCTTTTCCAAGACATTTGGAATGTTACTTGCCAGCTTCTCAATTTTTGTCTAGATTGGAAGGTTCAGATTTACAGTCTGCAAAATTACATACCAAACTTAATTTTTGTCTAGATGTGGAGCCACTTGAGGACGCCCCCCTTCTCCCTTCTCCCTTCTCCCTCCTCCCTCTCACTTTTCTTCATTCCTGGCACCACTTGAGAACGGGGCATGTGTAAATTATAGCTTCTGAAGTATCATTATATATATGTCTCTTTTTTTTTTGTCTGTAACTTTGGTTTTCAATATATGTACGCATCCGGACATGGATTCTCCTTTTTTTTTTTCTTTTTTTTTGGGGTTGGTTGAGTATATTCATTCATCCATTTACGAATGTGAAGATTGAAGAACGAATGTTAATTACGTCTCGAAAGTTAAGTGAGAAAAAGAAACATTCATTTTGCTTTTTTCTTTTCTTAATCTTGTAATTAATAGTATAATCCAGATATAGATTTAGAGGAAACAATTACCAATTGAATGAAGCTTCAAATATGTGAAATTGTTACAACTATATTTATCAAGTCAAGGAAATAGAGGGATTTTTTTTTTTTTTTTTTGTTCAGGAAGTCAAGGAAATAGAAGATATTAATGCATTAATGCACACAAATGGGGTTGAAGGCTTGAAGCATGCTTTGAATGAAAAGCAAGGGGCATGCTGGATATTAATGCATTAATGCATACTAAGGGGGTGTCTTTCGGGAATATATATTTTTTTTCCTGGAATTGGGATTGAAGAAGAAGAATAGAAACAGGTTGTTGGGTTTGTTTATCTTTTTTAACTTTTTGCTTGATTTTTGAATCTTGATTGAATTAAAAATTAATGGGTATTTTAGGAATAATTGTCCTAAATAGTGCATGTCATAGCAAATTTTGTGTTGGTTTTCCACCCGTTGTCATGGCAACACAAGGGCAACTACTATTCACATGAAATATGAGGAGAGGAATTTGTATAGAGTTTTGTGTTGGTTTTCCACCCGTTCCCAAACAAGCCTTTGTTCGAGTTGGTGGAGCCCAGCTCTTGCCCTGGCAAGACTTAAGAGCTGAAAACCAAATTGGGGGCCTAGGGGGCTTCTTTACCGGGCTGGGACCTCCCGGTGAAACTGCTCTCAGTTGAGCTCTTCAATCTTTACTCATGTGGTCAGAGGTTCGAAACGCCCAGACACCTAATGAGTGTTTGTGTAAACTCCCCCCTCCCACAATTGATTGTACTTATTAAAAAATTTATTAAAAAATTTTAAAAAAACGAAGCATGTTAGAGGCTTGTATGTAATGATGAGTCTACAAAACATCATAACTCAGGAAGGTATCACCGACCCAACTCACGCAACTATAAATACCCCTTCAAGTTGTAGTGTCTTTGTGTCACCTTCTAGGAGTTAATTCTCAGGTGCTCACCTTTTAGCTTCTTCAACATTTGAGCACTTCATTTGGTATATGAGTTAAATTGAGCTTAGTTTGTGATAAAATCATCATACACCACTAGCAACACTGATATTGTCCTCAACTTAACTATCTATAAAGCCTAATAGGTTTCGGTTTTATCACGAAAAGGACTCGGTGATATTAGTAGTGGAACCATTCACTATATGTTGTATTTTATTTAGTCAAGTTTCCGATGTGGGACTTATATTCTTCAACATCATAAACATTTTGAACTTGCAGTATCAACTTAAACATGGCTGAGGAGCAAGATTTGCGTGCACCAGTGAGCAAGTGGAAGATGCCTGTTGGCGTTTTCTTCAAAGATGCAAGGTGCAGTTTCAATTTTACAATGTTTAATTGGTGCTTTGCTCTCTCTCTCTCTCTCTCTCTCTCTCTCTGGAGTCATTGCTGTATCAAATTAAGGTTGGTATGGCCTTCCCTTCTCATTGATTATTAATATTAGTATATGGTTTCTTTGAAATAATTTACTGCAGGCGGGTTTTCAAGTGGGATATTCTTGGTAAGGAGATCCTAGATATTGCATTACCTGCTGCTCTGGCTACAGCTGCTGATCCTATCGCTTCTTTGATTGACACGGCATTCATAGGTCACATAGGTACGTACGCTTGCTTTTGCTTTCTTGATTTTTTGAAGCACTTAAATTTGGAGGCTTCAATTTTTAAGACAGTTTTGTTTATATTTATGTCTGCATGTTCACAATAAGATACAATTGTGTATGGTGTTTGGCAACATTGACTAGCTAGTTGATATCGAAATATACGGAGTGATGTCTGTTTCAAGTGGAGCGACTTAAAAACATGAATTTGATTTTGTCTAGGTCCGGTGGAACTTGCAGCAGCAGGAGTATCTATTGCCCTGTTCAATCAAGCTTCAAGAATTACTGTATTCCCATTGGTCAGTATTACAACTTCCTTCGTTGCTGAGGAAGACACTGTTGCAAAAATGAACATGAAATCAGAAAAAGGTGAGCAATTGCAAAAGGCAGACATGCTTGATGACTTGGAAAAAGGGGCTGCTAAACCAAATGGTACAGCTAAAGAAAATGGTAAGCATCTGGGAAATGTAAAGATGGAAGAGGCTTCTGCTGAGGATGATGAGCATGTGGCGGTAGGAAAAGGTGCACCTGAGGCGAAAGGTGAGAGCTCAGACAACGGATTACTTGAAAGCAGTGAAGCAAACAAAGCCATAGAGGAAAATGTTAAGCTCGAGAAGGCAGAGAAGGGTGCTGCTAAAAACAGTAATCCACTAGAAAATGGTACTCTAATCATCTTGAATAATTTTATCATTGTGACATTTAGTAATTGTGATTTCTTGATTTAGGTTCGAGAACAACAGTTGACGAGCTCCCTTCTGATCTTATGAGCACCAATAAGAAGGAAAAAATCAAGAAACAGAAGCGACATATTGCTTCAGCATCGACAGCACTCATCTTTGGGACAATACTTGGCCTTTTGCAAGCTATATTTATCATTTTTTCAACTAAAGTTCTTCTGGGTGTCATGGGTGTGAAATCAGTAAGTGATTTATATTTCTTATACTAATAATAAACAAATGAAGATGTATACAATTTGAAGATATGGAAACAAATCAATGAGAAAGAAAAATTGAAACAAACTTTCTCCCCTATGATCTCTAGAATGTAGAAACGTTTTTTATATACATTTTGTAGTTAATTAAACATTTAGGAGCTCCCTTAACCCAAAAGGCAGGCTTAATCAACTGAACTTATTAACATTTTTTTCACTTTAAAGATCATTATGGAATGAGGGAAATAATTACAGCTCTTCTTATGGAGCAGGATTCCCCTATGCTAGCCCCAGCACAGAAGTACTTGAAAATTAGATCGATTGGTGCACCTGCAGTTCTTCTCACATTGGCCATGCAAGGGATCTTCCGAGGTTTTAAGGATACCAAAACTCCTTTATATGTCATTGGTAGGCCAAAGAACTTACTGTATATAAGTAAAAACCTGTAGTCATGACCAATTCTTCTTACTACTTCCTCGGGTTTATTTGTTTCATTTGGTCGTATCGCAGTTGTGGGATATGGAGTTAACATTGCCTTGGATCCACTGCTCATCTTTGTCTGTGGCTTGGGCATCAGAGGTGCAGCTTTGGCACATGTTCTTTCTCAGTGAGTAGTGTGACCCTTGTCATGGTATTATTTTTATTGTTTCATATTTACAGCTGCTATTGAAGTATAGCTGTTTGTAACTTTAATATGTTATTTGATGCATCTTTGCTAAGATTAATTTTTTAAAATTCGTTTTAGGTACTTGATGGCACTGGTACTCTTCATAATCTTAACCAAAAAAATTGATCTCTTACCTCCAAGTATTAAAGATTTGCAGTTTGGTCGGTTTCTGAGGAATGGTAATGAGCTCAATTCTTATATCACTTTTGTACTTGCATGAATGTTACCTCCATCCCTCAATAATCCAAAATTGGGAGTGGAGATTCAGTGAATATATTATTCTTACATACATACATATATAATTCTTACTTGGTTGGCTTCTGTATAATTTTTCTTTATGCTTGGTTACAGGTACTCTGTTGTTGGCAAGGGTGGTTGCTGTGACCTTCTGTGTGACCTTGGCAGCATCGCTGGCCGCCCGGGAAGGTCCAACTCCTATGGCTGCATTTCAGACTTGCCTGCAGGTTTGGTTGACATCATCTCTTCTTGCGGATGGCTTGGCTGTTGCAGGGCAGGTATTTCTTTTTTCTTTTTCTCCATTTAAACATATATCATCTCGAGTGACTTACAGCTATTTTAGTTGCAAGTAAGTAAGCTTCTTACTCAAACAATCTTTGTGTCATCGTCCCCTGCTCTTTAGGCTATTCTAGCATGTGCATTTGCTGAGAAAGACTACAAGAAGGCCATAGCCACCGCAACCAGGGTATTACAGGTACTTCAGTTAGTGCACATAGCAGCAGAGACTATGTATCTATAAACCATTCATGACTTGAACTTCATAACTAACCTACTATTTCTTTTTAACAATTTCGTTACGTTCCACATTTGTGAAAACAATCAGCATTTTAATTTGTGAAGGAATATTTGTGCAGATGAGCTTTATCCTTGGTGTGGGGCTTACTTTTGTTGTCGGAATTGGTTTGTACTTTGGAGCTGGAATCTTTTCTAGGGATGTCAATGTTTTGCACCTTATAAGGATTGGCCTCCCGGTATGTAATTTTAGCTCATCTAAAAGCTCTCTTTCTCAATAAATTTTTATTTTTATTATTATTATTTTTTTGAATGATGAAAGAATATTTAAACTAAATTGTTTTCTATCCATCAGTTTGTAGCAGCCACACAACCGATCAATTCACTGTCTTTTGTCTTTGATGGTGTGAACTTCGGAGCATCTGACTTTGCGTATTGTGCATACTCCTTGGCAAGTCTCTTGTAAACCATTTACCAAACTATAAATGATACTACAAGTTTTGCAATTGATGTTTCTGAATTCTCTTTTCACAAATTGCGTTACTAATTCTTCAAAACAAAATTCTCTGTTCCTTCTCAGGTTCTGGTGGCCATAGCAAGCATTGTATCCTTGTTCCTTCTCTCCAAATCCCATGGTTTCATTGGAATTTGGATTGCTTTAACCATCTATATGGCGCTGCGTACATTTGCTGGTGTATGGAGGTAATTATCATTTATGTACTTACTTTTCTTTTATCAATGAAGGAGAGATTCGAATTTGAAACTTCTTCCAACACTCGGCACATAATTAGTATCATGACTAGACTAGGATGTAGTTGGTAATTAGAAAATTGGTTTTGGACCCTACATTTGCAGGATGGGGACTGGAACAGGGCCTTGGCGCTTTCTCAAGGGTCGATCACCACCATAGGTTTCATCAGTCTAGTAATACAGCAATATTACGACAGTGCACTCCCATGATTAATTTTTTGCCTTGTCATCTTTTCGTTACTGTTATTCGTTACAGTCATAAAAACTCAACTTTCTATCTGCAATTTTTCCTCTTTTTGTATCATGGTGACCTGTCAAGGATGTTGGGTGTTTACATATGATTGTAATAGTCTATAACTTCAGGCATTGTATTTGGGGAATGAAATGAGACAACCCCCAGTTTTTACTCTGTATGCTTTACCAATAATAAAAAAGGAAGCTATTATATGATTCCTACCTTTCTGCATCTCTCTTTATCATTTATGTTAGTTATTTTGCAAAGCCAGCTCTGAGCCGGTAGAAAGATCCCATGCAATAACTCTAATGACACGCGTGATAACACCTCCACGTGGCAGATGCAATTGTCATGGGACCCGGCTCAATGGAGCCCCAATTTTTTTGTTTTGTTTTGTTTTAAAAAATTTGATCGAGGTCCTATTTGTTATTACCACTTATATAGATAACTGCAGTATTGTTGATAGGTTGACTCCAGCACCCATGGTTTAGTGGTTTTTTAATTTCAATCTAATCCAAGTTCAAATCCTAACATAACATATGTGTAGTGTGTATGCATTTAGCATATGTGTGTATGTGTTTAGTAACAATAGTAACCATATGTGTAGTGTGTACATTCTCTCTCTTTTTATCTCTCTCATTGCATGATAAGTAGTACTCAATTACTTTGACCAACTAATATGTTGGGAGAGAGACAAGCCGAATCATTTCTACGAGGAAGGATCCTCTTCCTAGCTACAAATCATTTTGAAAGAAGGATAATTAATTAATTCTTTATTTATGACATTTGCTGAGACTTGAGACAGCATATGCACCTGCGCTTATATTTTCGAACACAAGATCATATCATATGCATGAAAAAATCTAACCCTAAAATTTTCGCTCAGCTCTTTTTGCCCTCGCTTATTTTTATCTACTTAATGAAGGGACACACCATAAAATATTTTAATTCTCTCGCCTTCGCTAATTCTTACCTACTTAATAAAGGGGCACACCAAAAAATAATTTAATAGATTAACCACAATAAACCCCCCAAATTATGGGACAAATTACAAATTCATACCCACTGTATATTGATCGGTTTGACTAGTACACAAACTTCACGAGACCTTTCAAAATACACCCTTTGTTACTAATTCCGTCAAGAGAGACATTAAATAATGACGTGGCAGATGTGCCCCACAAACCCAGCCACCAACCGCCTTCCCCAGCCACCTAGTCTCCACACCATCGTCTTCTTCTTCAGTGTTGTCAAGTCTGGCTTCGTCGCTCACAAGATCTCCCAAACCCTCATCTCCCTTGGCATCTGCTCCGACTTCCTCTCCCCCCTCGTCTGTTGGAAATTTAGAAAACTCAAAGATTAGATAGAAAGCTATATTAAACTTAAGTATATTCATTGACTGAAATGCAAATATAAATACACGTTCAGAATACCAAACCAACTAAAAACATGGAACAACTAATCCCATGATAAACTGACTCCTAAACATATGGGATACTACCAAAGACCAAGTAAAACAAACTGACTTCCTATAGAATAGGAGTCAACAACTCATTATTCAAAAAACATAGAGAAAAACAATAATAATACAACTTAACACCATCCCTTAAACTGAAGTAAGTAGACAATCAGTTTAAAGAAAAAAAAACACTTCAGTTCTTGTGCATTAAAAAAACTAACTTCACCCAGCAATATCCTTAAATGAGCAAACTCCTAGCAATTCTCTCAGCTTCACAAACACAGGAAACTTGAGAGGCTTTGTTAGAATATCTGGAACTTGGTCTTCACTCAATAAATCATATCAATGACTCCATTGGTGCAAAGATCACGCAAGAAATGATATCTCACATCAATATGTTTACTCCTTCCATGTAAAACTGGATTTTTTAAAAGTTTGATGGCTGAACTATTATCACAAAATACTGGAATAGAGCCCTCTTGATAGCATTGTAGTTCTTCAAGCATTCTCTTCAACCAGATTGCTTGACATGCACAAGATGTTGCAGCAACAAACTCTACTTCTGTTGTAGATAAAGTGACAATCTGTTGCTTTTTTGAGGACCATGAAACAGCTCCTGCACCTATCATAAAAAACATAACTAGAGGTGCTTTTTCTATCATCCAAGTCTCCAGCATGATTACTATCAGTGAAGCCTAAAATGGTACTGATTTTCCTCCATTCTTGTACCAAATTCCAAAGTCAATAGTGTCTTTCAAATAACGCATAATTCTTTTAGCTGCAAGGAGATGAAATTCAGTTGGACTTTCCATGTATCTACTGATAAGACTCACAGCATGCATCATATCAGGTCTAGTTGTTGTTAAGTACATGAGGCTGCCCATAATTTGCTTGTAAAAAGTGCTTTCAATTTTCTTTCCTCCAGGATGCTTCAATAGCTTCAATCCATATTTAGTTAGAGTAGAGACAGAATTGCAATTCTTCATCTCAAATCTGTCCAAAATCATTTGAGCATATTTCTTTTGTGAAATAAAAACACCTGCAGCAATTTGCTCTACTTCGATTCCTAAAAAATAATGCATCAATCCAAGGTCACTCATATCAAACTCTTTCATCATGGATTGCTTAAAAGCATCAATCATTGCCTTATCATTTCCTGTGTAAATCAAATCATCTACATATAGGGACATAATTAGAAATTTACTTCCATCTCCATTTTTAGTAAACAGTGTGTGCTCACTCTCCATATTTTACATACACGGCTCTGGCCACCACACATAGCTCAGGCCGCCCAGTTATCACCATAAATACATCTCTGTACTACCTTTTAGCTATTGTTTATCCGAGATTCAATTGACCTAACTTAGGTATTAGAGGGCATTTGGTCAACACCCCCCGAATGGTCTATTTACTCCGGTCTTTATTACAAAGACAAAGGAAGAGAGAGAAGAAAGATCAAAGGTTGAAGAATCCACAAGTGAATATTCTCCCATGAGGATTTTTACACAAACAGTTACTCCATAAATCTGCTAATAAGGCTTATGACAAACATTAAATATGGTTGTGTGGTAGTTAGGTACATCAGACTTCCCACCATATGCTTGAAATATGTGTTGTCAACCTTTGTGCCATTAATGTGTCTAGTCAGCTTAACTCCTGGAACAATAGGATTTTGTACTGAATTGCACTCACTCATTTGAAACTTATCAAGCACTTCTTGAGCATACTTCTTTTGCCCAACAAAAATCCTATCAGCTGTTTGCTTAACTTCCATACCTAGGAAATAATGCATCTTTCCTAGATCTACCATCTCAAATTCAACAATAATATCCTTCTTAAATTCAACAGACATTGTCTCATCATTTCCAGTATTTATAAGATAATCTACAAGAGACATATTATTAAAATTTTACCTTCATTTCCATGCTTGATGAATAAGGTGTGTTCGTAAGGACCCTTCTTGAAGCCCATCTTTGTGAAGTAGGACTCAACACGACTGTACCAAGCTCGAGGAACTTGTTTCAGTCCATATAAAGCCCTCTTTAATTTGTACACCTTATGTTCTTCTCCCTTCATGACATACCCTGGTGGTTGATCTACAAAAACTGCTCATTTAATTCTCTATGCAAGAAAGCTGACTTCACGTCTAGTTGATTAATACACCAATTGTTTTGAGCTACCAATGACACCACCAATTGAATTGTATCATGTCTAGCCACAGGTGCAAAAACTTTGGCATAGTCTATTCCATATTCTTGTGTGTAACCCTTTGCCACTAACCTGACTTTGTATTTGTCAACTTCTCCATTTTCCTTGAGCATGTCTTGTATATCCATTACAATTGCTTCAATCTCTAAGTCCATAGCTTTCCTCCATTTTGAACTTCTCATAACATCATCAAAGGTGATTGGATCACAATAAGCAAGCAAGGCTAGTTGAGCAATATTTTCTTCATCTAATAACTCATCTCTACTCATATAATCAGTCATCCAAGTAGAAGGTCTTCTTAATAGTGGTTCTCTGATTATGCGCTCTTCTTAGTTCTCATCAGCTAAACCTTCTGAGTTAGTGTCTGCAACAGAATTCTCATAGGCTAAGCCTTCTGATTTAGTGTCTGCCAGCTGAATTCTCCTCATTCCTTTCAAGATTCGCAACTATCTCTTCAACTCCTTCATCTGTCTAGTTCCAGCAAGCTTTTTCATCAAAAATTACATCTATGCTGACTATGATCCTCTTGGTAGCTAGATTATACAACTTGTAAGCCTTGGACTCATCACTAATCCCAAGCATAACACATGGCACACTCTTGTCATCAAGTTTGCTTCTTAGCTTATCAATGACATGAGAATAAGCTAATCATCCAAACACTTTGCAATGAGCAACTCCTGGTTTGTTCCCACTCCAAGCTTATTTTGGGGTTATATCCTTCACAACTAATGTTGGACATCTATTTAAGATGTGAACACTCCAATTCACAGCTTCATGCCAAAAAGTTTTAGGCACCTTTGTTCTTGCAAGCATGCTACGTACCATATTTATAACAGTACGATTTTTCCTTTATGAAACCCCATTTTGCTGAGGAGTGTAAGCTGTAGTTAACTGTCCATGAACACCATTCTCCTCACAAAAGGTGGTGAATTTATGTGAAGTGAATTCTCCTCCACGATCAGTACGTAATGCTTTAATAAACACCCCAGCTTCTTTCTCAACTATAGCTTTAAACTTCTTCAAACCAATTATATCCTCAGACTTTTCAGATAAAAAGTACACCCAAGTCTTCCTACTAAAATCATCAGTGAAAGTTATAAAGTACCTCTTGCTGCTATTGGAGATAAGATTAACAAGTCCACATATGTCTGAATAATGGACCAAATGAAGGATATATGAGGACTCCCAAGTGCTCTTCTGAGGAAAAGTATCACGGTGTTGCTTCCCAATCATGCATTCTTCACAAATTTTTTAGGAA